TAGAGTCTCACAGATAAATCTTTGGCTGCTGGTTCGAAAATCCCCGCCCTATCATCATAAAATAACATCCAATTAATAATTGGATCCTGACTCATACCTAAAAGTCTAAACTAGGGTAAAATACTATTTTATCCTTTACCTAACTTGGCCCAAGGAAAAGGCCCAAACCAAATACTCAAAAGGCCCAATTCCAAAATTGTCACCCAAAGTCCAATTATGGCCCAATATCCCAAATTGGGCCCAAATCCCTTCGTGGTCCTTCATCCAAAAGAACCCAATATAATATCATCAGCCCAAAATAGAAATCTGATGTCCCAACAAGACCCTAATCTCCTAAGGTCCAAACACGGGCCCAACACCGAGAAGTCCAAAATCCGAAGCCCACCTATTGAGTACGCGGGGCGTATTCAGCTCGTACGCTTAACGTACACCCTCTGGGGCTAGTACGCGCAACGTACCAGCTTGGTACGCCCAACATACTCCCCAGTTGACCACCCCACTTCATTAAGCACTTAATCCATTGAGACTTCAAGCCAAACACTCATATCTGATTCTATAAGACCACTAATCACGTAAAGTTGGCAACTTTACACACATGCATGGCTTAATGGGGCTCAAGAGCTCAAAAAGATCTTAACAAAGGTCTTAATACATGCATGGCTCAAGATACACCATAAAGCTTGCATTTTTATGAATAAGGGGACCAAAAGAAGCCTAGATCTAATACCAAAACTTCTAGAGTGAGTCAAGAAGCTTATCAATCACTCCAAGGACTCAAAAAGCATAAAATAACAACATAACTAGATCTAGCATCATGGATCATCAAGATTTGAGCTTTTTACCTCAAAAAAGCTTGCAAGTGATGAGCTAAACCCATATCTTCAAGCTCAAGACACTTCTCCAAATGGTCATCTTCTTCTTCTCCTTCACAAATCACCAACAAACACTCTTTAAGGCTCAAAATTCACAAAAACACATTAGGTTTTCGATTTATGGACAAAGGAAGGTGGAGGCTGGCTAAACATGACCAAATGAGGCTATCACAAGGTTCAAATAGGGTTTAAACCCTAAGAATTAGGGTTTCATTTAAGCTCGCGTACGCCATGCATACTCCACGTACGCCCAACGTACGTGGATGGGATCCGCGATCATGCTATCAGGCTAGTACGCTACGCGTACCACCTAATACGCCCCACATACTAGCTTAAGGACTAAAATGCAAAGTTTTGATTAACAAGGGTTAAATGCGAAACTTACCAACTCGAGTGTTACACATACTATCTTCACATTTTCCTAAGTAACTAGATTGAGATTTTAGAAGATTCTAGTACTTTATATATTATACTTTTAAGATGATTACGTCATACCAAACCCGTTCGGTTAACGACCCTCCACCACACAAAGAAGCGATGAGTGAAAAAGAAACTCATTCAACGGTCATTTTATAGGTCGTTTCTTTATACTTCTCTTATAATATGACTTTGTGAATGAGACGCACTAGATATTCGACTGACTTTTAGTTATACATATAGTATTAAAGCTCTTATATATGTATAGGGTGTATTTTAAAATATTTTAAAATTACAAGGTTTAAATTTAATTTTCTGAATTACTAATTAATTAATTAATCTTTTAAACCAATTATGGATTTATATTTATCTTTTAATTAACCATTAATTATATATTATGTCAAAATCCATTAAGGATAATTCCATTTAATTAATTAAAGAATAAGTTTCCTTATTTAATTCCTCAAAATTTGAATTAGGGTTTTAAATTCAACTAACATTATTGGATTCAGATTTTAACAGTTAAAATAGCATATAATGACTAAAATTTACCCTACTAATCGAATTAGGTAATCATATACATGCATTTTCATTAATAGCATATAATGACTCACACCCAAAACCCTAAAAACCCTAGAATGAAGAGAGAGGGGAAGGGATGAAAATTTCGGATATAAGCCTCCTAGGAAGAGTATGAACGGAATTTGCACTCATTGGGGTCCTATTTATAGTGTAGGTAGTACAAGGATAACCCTAAATTTGAATAATAAAATAATACTATTTTATCTATCCAAACATGGTAATCCTTATTATCTTAACAAACCTTCCAGAATCCTCCATGATCCTTTGTAAAATCGTCCACCACCCTAAGAGGGTTCTAAAATTGTTTCTTGACTCAATTATGAACAATTACAACCTTTAATTAATTCCAATTAATCGTGAATTAATTGTAGATTAATTCTGATTAGTAATTAATTAATTCCAACCACTTATAGTTAATTCAAAATTAATTATTAACTATCTTTAATTAATATATTAATCAGATAATTTATTAACAAATCATTTTTTCTCTCTCTCTTCATATCATTTCTAGTTATTTTTGGTTATGAGGGCAACCATAGAATTACACAAATTTAGGTAAGACCTTATACATTTAATCAAACAGTATTCACCGACTTTTTTTACGTGCATCAATTTCGCGTGGTGTTTCAAAACATCCCAAACCTTTTCATGGCGAAAAGCTTTTTAATTACTAAGCCTCCGATACTCTCTTTGTGCATCTTTTAAAACATTGACCTCGAATATCTCGCTAGCCAGACTGTTCAACTTACGGTTGTATATGAAGTTGAAATCGTTACATTTCTTTTGAGGGTCTTTCCATTTTGAGTTCACTTGGTGTCCTGTCTGATCAGAACCTCCCTGTTAAGCATTAAAATGTTTTAGAACCCGCTCCCAAGATGCATTCGACTTTTGTTGATTTCCACGTTGCCTATCTTTAAAAACATTGACATATGCCCTAGCCAAAGCCACCTCTTCCTTTTTTCCAGGCGCTTTATAGTCGCATTTGTTCTTAGGCAACAGGTTGGTGTTCCTCGCTTCCTTATTCATTTCCTTCGGGAGTGGGGTCGTCACCAAAATCATCAGATTCTAAGTTTTGAGTATCACAAAACTAGAACACCTTGGGAGGAGAACCAAGGGCGGAACATGACCATTATAAATGGAGGGGCTGAAATCAAGATTGAGTTAATTAAAATGTTATAATTAGATTTGTATTTTGTTTTTATAAATATTATATTAATTAATTTTTAAACGAGGTTGCTATTTATGTGCGTTTGTTAATATTTTTAAAAAAAAATAGAATCTATTAAATAAATTGGAATTATACATCATGAATTTGACTGTTAAGAGTGAAATGAAAAATTCAACTCATTCAACCAAATAATTTTAAATTTTAGGATTAACGAATGCCAAACTTATTTTATATTAGTTTTGTAAAGAATGTTACTAATGAGTTTTTTTTTTTTTTAAATGTTTGGGTTATTGACAAATTTCACAAAGATGTTGGGGTTGTTGAAAAATTTGACAAAAGTTTATACAACAACCTGTTTTAAGTTAAAAAAAAACATTGATTAAATTGAAAACCATTTTCTATATACTAAAATTCCTAAATAGTTTCTAAAGATATATTTTTATAAACTATATGTATTGAAAAATATACATACTTCATATACAAAACAAATCGCTGGTATTTTAGAATAATAGTACCATCATCAACTACTTGTTTGTAAATTATTTTAGGAATAATATATATATGCGGTTAATGCAATATGTATTCCTATTTTATATATGTGAAATAAAAAATTGCAACTATATAAAATGATTATAAATTCAACAATAATATCAATAAAGTGAAAATAAATAGTGGAATAGAAAGTAAGAGAATAAAGTAAAAATCAAATACCTATTGTTTATCGGGTATAGTTTTTTTTTTTTTCAAATATAGAAGAGTTCTTATGTTAAGGAAAGAACGTCGATAATTAATTAACTCTATATTTTGAAGTGAGTTTTTTCCTATTGACCAATTGGGTAAATAAGAGGGGAAGTTGGTGAAGCGGGAGTGGCAAAGCCATGTTGGAGATAAGAAACAACGACAGAGATGTGAAGCTTTGCCTGATATATGAAGCAACAATGGAGCAGCAACGCCTGTTTAGTTTTTGCTCTGTTTTCTCGCTTTTTCTTATTAATTTTGCAGAATTTATCTCCTACGTTAGTAATTAGAAAGCCAAAAAAACGAGGGGGGAGGGTGATGGCCTCCCCTGACCCCTTAAAGGATTCGCCACTGAGGAGAACATTGAAATTGGTTTTCGAAACCGTTCGAGAATACTTTATATATTGATTATAACTCGGATTTTCCTATAAAAAACGAAATTAGTTGTAGGTTTGTTGCATCAGATAATATTGTTATCGATAGTTTTAGTATTGTTGATAGTTTGAGTTTTGAGATTCCAAAGAAGAAAAATGAAATATCTTGACTGAACATAACTTGTTTTGATTTACTTCTTTGACAAGAACTGACTTGTTTGGATTTGTTACGAGAATCCATAGAAGAGAATTATTGAGGTGTGGAATGTAACATTTAGAAGTTGAAATGGAATTGAGATAGTGGATTGGAATTGGATTGTGGAATTATATTGGTTTATATACGTAAATAATAATAATAATAATAATAATAATAATATTTATGATTTTTTGACCGGGTCAATGGTCAAAGAGTGAGAAGAGGGAAAAAGCCGACAACAACTCACATGTTCTACAACCGGCCAAAGACCAACTCCAATGGTCCCTCCTCAACTCGCGGAATCGTCGCCTAGATAGTCCAACCATCCTATCGTCAGAGTAGACCTGACAATTCGAGACATAAATACATGAATTTGTGAGTGACACGACATGACATGAATACATCTTGAAAATTGAGATCAAACTTATTTCTTTTCGTGTATTCACATCGTGTCAAATACGTTTTCATGATACGGATATACGAATTGACACGTCTACGCTCACCATCAATAATGTCCTTGTTTGGCCTTAATCAATATCAATAAAGTCCCTGATTTGTGAACAACAATAACAATCGAATAATATATGATTGAATATTTTAACGTTTTGAAATATCTTTAAAAATTAAATAGTTGATGACGTAAGAAATATTAAAACCGGATTTCCTACTACCACCATTCAAACCCTCGCCCCATTCCTCCCCTCTCGCTATCCGCTCTCTGCCAGTGTCTACCGAAGTTTTTCGATTTCGAAACCCTAACAACGAATCTCTCTCGAGCTTCCGTTCGATTCAATCTCCTATCGCTCTCTCTCAATCTCTCTCTGTTTGTCTCTCTCTCTCTCTCTCTCTCTCTGTCAACTCTCTTTCACCTTTTCATCCCTCAATCTCCAAACGATCCTCTCTCATTGACCGTCCGATGGCTGAAGGCAAGCTTGATCTTCCCGACGATCTTCTCTCCTCCAAGCCCTCTGATCATTCTTGGACCTCTAAAGGTAATTTCTAATCGCCCGGCCTTTTTTTTTTGCATCTTCTGTATTTACTGGATTTATATGTTTTGGGTTCACGTTAAGTTAGGGTTTATTGATTAGTAAGTAATGGAGTACGTGATGCTACTCCAATTCGGCTGCATCTGTATTTCTGTTATCTACCAATCTTTTATCATAACGGCTGAAAAACGAATATGGACTTGCAACCTGTCTGACTTTAAAATTGTTTTTAACTCGGTTGCTGGTCGTATCTGCTTACATATTGTAGTTGAATTTCATTTCCAGCATTCATTCTCACTTATAGAATGAATTTTACTTTTTAATCATGGATGGTAGCTATCTTGGTAGATTTTTGAGTTCGGACCTAATAGACGGCTATATGTTTTTCCTTTTGAATTGGGCGGGCTCAGGCCTTTTACCCCTCTCCACTTAAAGTTATTCTGCACGGCCAAATGTTATAGATCTAACACTTATATTTGCTATCTGGAGGTGGTGTATAGTTGGAGTGCTACTTGTCTCATTACTTTCTATACTAAAAGATAGCAATAGATCTTGCTTGATTTATCCTATTCTTGTTATAGAAGTCATGGTTCAGTCTCGAGAGGTCATATGTGTATGTTAACTCCTGCTTTGCAAAATCGCCACATTATGTCCCCATTTGTTTTTTAACATGCAATTAGTCATGACAGTGGACGCCTCTGGAGGGAATGGTGAAGACAAGATGATCGGTTATGATTCCAAAGGTAGATTTCATTCATTGTTTGTGGTCTGTAATAGACTATTTCTGCATTTTTCCATTACTTTACCATTTCTGCATTTTTCTTGATTCAATTAAAGATCAAGCAGCTTTGGACAACAGCATTCCCTTGTCTCCTCAGTGGCTTTATTCTAAACCAGGCGATAGTAAGATGGTGGGTGTTTTTTGTTGAATCAAAAGTTATTCTGTTTTAATATTACATTCATACACAGATGACAAAACTCATCTCTTCAGTTATTATGATTATAGGAAATGCGGGCACCAAGTTCTCTCTCCCTTGGGAGCTCTGCTGATTCGGGTGTGAAGGAGGCTTGGCGTGCGGAGGGATCTGATGACAAGAAAGATTGGAGGAAGTCTGGAAGTGAGACAGAAAGCGGGCGTCGCTGGCGTGAAGAAGAAAGAGAAACAGGATTACTTGGCAGCAGAAGAGAGCGCAGGAAAACCGATCGCCGTGCTGATGTGGCGTCTGATAACAGAGCTCCTTCCTCTGACAAGTGGCTTGATGTTGGTAACCGTAATTCTGGGAACGAGGCAAGGCGTGATAGCAAATGGTCATCCAGATGGGGCCCGGATGAGAAAGAAAAGGAGAAGAGGACAACAGATGCAGAGAAGGAAGATGAGTCTCACTCTCAAGGAAATGCAGGCAACAACACTAGAGTGGTCTCTGAGCGTGATCCTGAATCACGTGATAAATGGAGGCCACGGCATAGAATAATGGAGGCAACTTCTGGTGCCTTTCGTGCTGCACCTGGATTTGGGGTTGAGAAAGGAAGGGTTGAGGGATCAAACTCAAACCCAAACATGGGGTTTACTGTTGGACGTGGCAGATCTAGTGCTACTACTGTTGCTGTAAGGCCTTCATCTCCAGGTTCCATTGAGGGTGTGCCCGGAAAGCCTCCTGGGGCTGGGGATATGTTTTTCTACCCAAGAGGAAAGCTTCTTGATATATACCGTACACAGAGACTTGACCCTTCTTTTGGTAACTTGCCTGAAAAGATTCAGGAAGTACCTTCTATTACTCAAGTAGCTGCACTGAAACCTCTTGCTTTTGTTGCTCCTGATGCAGAAGAGGAGGTAATGTCTTTTTTTTTTTTTTTTTTTTTTTTTAAATCAGTAAAGTTTTTATGTATTTCTATCTTGCTAACTTGATAAGCACATGCAATGTCCTCAGTCCATCCTTGGTGATATATCAAAGGGAAAACTCACTGGTAGTGAGTTGGTGGCCAGTAGGCCGAGAGTTATCGGGTCATCTGAGAACATTACAGGTAATGGAGCTTATGGATATGAAAAGTGTGTTTTCCATATAGGTTGGGGGTTTCCTGTATCTAATAAGCTTGATGTTATCCTTGATTAGTTGTCTTGGATTCAACATCCACCGATGGGAAAGATGGTACTTTACTCTCGGGAGACAATATGATTGACCAAAATCAAAATGCTTCTCGCTTTGATAGTCAAAGATTTAAAACAAGAGAGGGTGAGTAAAGACCAAAATCCATCTTTACTGGTTGTCACACTAATCTGTGAAGAACTTAACATTGTTTTACCACATTTCAGGGCAAGATGCTAATTGGGATCAAGAGCAAGGAATCCCTCAGATGGAATCATATGCACTGCAAACAAGGTCAAACAGCAGTACTATTGACCACTGTCATGATAAAGCTTCAAATTTTGACGGCGTAGATGTCCAGCCATCTTCATTTGATATCAATTCAAATCTTGTTGATGAATCGAACTCTGTATTTGTTAATCCATCTTCTGAGCAATATTGGACAAGAAATATGCAGGATAATACAAGTGAACAGTTAACAAGTGGCATCATGCCTGAGGAGTTAAGTCTTTACTATCGTGATCCTCAAGGGGAGATCCAGGGACCATTTCTTGGGGTAGACATCATCTCATGGTTTGAGCAAGGATTTTTCGGGGCAGATTTGCCAGTTCGAGTGGCAGATGCACCAGATGAAGCTCCTTTCATGGAGTTAGGTCATGTTATGCCACACTTGATTCCCAGGCATGATTACACCACCAGCAATGATCCAAGTCCCAACTTGGACAAGTTGTCTGATGGTTTCCAAGGGAACCTGGATGCTAATGTCGTCTCTGTACCTGTGCCTGGTTCTGAAATGGGCTTTTTGTCCGCCTCAGATAATCCACATTGGCAATTGCCTGAGTTCAATGGTTTGTCAGGAAAGCATGCTCAAGTCAGAATACCTGAGCATGAAGGCTCTTTGCAGCATTTATACTCCGAGGGTCAAAGCTTCCATGATGAAGGTTATATACTCTTTCCATCTGCTTACCCAATCTAACCTTTCATTTTATAAGGCATTCTAATATTAATGTTGTTTCCCTGTTGCAGAAATTGTTTTCCCAGGAAGACCTGGCAGCAGCGAGTCTGCATCAAAGTTTATGAACAACCACACTGCTCCATCTGATTTAATCGAACCTGGCATACAGAGTAGTAGCGAGAATAAAATGCACCCTTTTGGATTGTTATGGTCTGAGCTAGAAGGGTCGAGTTTGAGAAATGATCAGTCATCTAAGACAAACTTGGCTGGTGGTATCCAGCAGCAATTTGTGAATTTACCAAGTCAGAGGGCCTCTTCTTTCAACACAATCCCTGATGCTGATGAATGGTCAGATATTTATAGAAGAAATGCCATGGATCAACAGGCCAATGACTTTGATTTATCGGAGAAACTTAGGTCTCACCAAATTCAACAACAGCTGCTCCAACAGCATAATCTGCTCAACTCTCAACATCACTTGAATGAATCAATGCTGGACCATGTTCCTATAAACCCAAAACAGTTGGCCGGACAAACTGGGCAAGGTCTTGATCACCTAATGGCACTACAGTTGCAGCAGCAGAGGCGGATCGAGCTTCATCGGCAGCATCAGTTACAGTCGCATCAGTTGAATCAACAGCAAATGCTGCTCAAGGAACAGCAATCACGACAGTTGCTTCTTGAACAGTTGGCCCAAAATCAGATGCGTGCAGCACAAGCACAATCACGTGCGGATGCTGCAAGATCAAATAATGCACTCGATCAGATTCTTCTCAAGCATCAGATCTTGAATGAACTTCACCAGCGTTCACAACATGTCGATCCATCATCGATAGAGCATCTGATTCAAGCAAAGTATGGTCGTCAAGGGCAAGGGCATCCAAACGAGCTGTTGGAGCTCATTGCACATGCGAAGCACGGCCAGATGGAACATCACATGCTTCAGCAGGAGCAGTTTCAGGGAAGGCAGCAGCTGCCTTTGCCTTTGCCTTTGGGTTTAAGGCAGAGGATGGAGATGGAAGAAGAGAGGCGTCTTGGCTCTGTCTGGCCTGGGCCTGTTGATGAAACCACTCAGTTTCTAAGAAGTGCTGGTGGGATTCACCGAGTCAATTCCAGTGGTCTGAGTCCTTTAGATGTTTATCAGCAACAACAGAGACTGCCTTCAGAGGAGTTGAGTCATTTTGAGCGGAATCTTTCAATGCAAGAGAGACTTCAGCAGAGTGTTTATGAACGCTCGTTACGTATGCCAGGTGGCGGGCCTGCAATGAACCTTGATGTTAATTCCATGGGTCGAGTTAATCAGAATATGCAGGAGTTCAATTCTCCGTTGCACCACGGTGGTGTTGCTAATCAGCATCCCTTAGCCTCGAACCGCTTCCATCCCTCTCAAATGGGTGTGGGTGCAGAGGGACCCTGGTCTGAAAGCAATAATGGGATTGGGCATGGGCAAGGGCAAGGGCAAATGCCAAACGAGTGGATGGAGTCGAGGATTCAACAACAGCAGCCGCATACTGATAATGGAAGGCAGAAGGAAGTGAGAAGGATTTCTGAAGATCCGAGTGTTTGGATGTCTGCTGGAAGCAATGATGATCCTTCAAAGAGGTTGCTTATGGAACTGCTTCAACAGAGCCAGAACCCCCCAGAGATTCAATCATCTTCTACTGAAGAAGCATTAGCATTGGATGTGAGTAATAATAATAATATGGTACGATTCGAGAATAGGGATTATTTAAGGACCAACTCCAATCGTTCCATGAATCAAGAAGTTGGGCTTAATCACCCCTCATTTGCTGGTGCATCTTATGGCTCTAACTCATCACAAGGACTGCTGGTGGATGAGACAATAATTGGTTTGCATACTACTAGATCTAGTTCAGGAACAATGGCAAGTCCATTCTTTTCTGACATTAATGAATCCTCTGACAACATGGCGGCCATAGAACGAGGCTTTTTTGATATGGAAGGAAACAGAAGATTTCTTAAAAGCGAAGGTAGTAAGGGTGTAGCTTCAGAAACCGAAGAAGGAATAATATTTCAGCAGGGTGACCATGGGGAAATGCCAAATAATGTTGGAAGGCACACTAGTGCTGCTGCTGTCTTTGGTAAATTTAAATCTGTTTTCCCATTGTATTATTATGGTGTGGTGGCTTGGCTTTTACTTTACTTTTCTTGTGTTTTTGATATGATAGCAGGTCAAGGTGGGAATAAAAACTTGTACAATGAGAAGATTTCAGGAGAGGCTAAAGACAGGTAAGAAAAAGATTACCTATAGTAGTAAACCAATAAATGTTAGCTTGTGCATCTCATATGCATCTTGAGAAGTTTTCTGTTTATTATCATTTTTATATGTTGTATATACATGCAATATATGTATTTAGATTGAAACATATATATTGATATCACCAATATCCTCCTTCCTTGAACGCGAACATGAACATGAAGATGCTTGGTGTAGATGCATGTTGTAGATGTGGCAATGGCATAAAGTAATTGTAGATGCATGTTGGTTTTTTGCTTTCATGATGCTCACTCATTTTGTGCATAAGAGAGAAAAAGAAAGTAAAAACATACAAGAAGATATGGGATGGCATGTGCTTTATATCATCAATCATATTGTGTTGAACAAGGAGTCCATCCATGCATGCAAGCAAGTATTAGAAAACTCTATATCTGAAGCATCTGTGTTAATGATGTTTATTATGTGGTGTAGTGTTGTTTTAGGGAAAGTGATATTCTTGAGATAGGATTAGGAAGCAGTTTGTAGTGTAGTGATAATTCGAACTGAAGACCTGACCTGACCTAAGTGGGAGAAAAAGTAGAAACATAATAATGATGTGTGTGTGTGTTTACAGCAGCAGGGGGATGGTGCCTGCATCAAAGAGGTCTACTCCTGATAATATTTTGGTGGGACGTGCATCATCATCATCATTATCATCCCATGAAGGGTTATGCGAGGTGGCATCTAGAGGAAGAGATGGCCATAGCCTTGATGAAGGTAGGTGGTAGACACTGTTGTTATTATTATTGTGAATATGAGCGAGCATGCAGTAGTAGAAATAAAAATAATAATAATAGTAATAATCTGGTTTGTTTTTTGTTCATCTTATTAATTGCATTGCATTGCATTGAAGGAGGTGGAGGTGGAAGAGAAAACATGTTAATGGGTGGAAAGATTAAGAAAGAGGAGGGTCGATTCAGGAGAACATCATCATCATCATCATTATCATTATCACTATCACTGAGCGATGCTGGTGATGTGTCAGAGACGGCTTCTTTCAGTGATATGCTTAAAAGCAATCATAACAATACTAGTAATAATAATAAGAAGCCGCCCTTGGCAGCAGCAGATCCAGCAGCAGAGGCTACAGCAGAGGGACACAATAGCAAAACTGGTGGTGCTGGTGGGAAAAAGAAAGGCAAAAAGGGGAGGCAGATCGACCCGGCTCTGCTTGGGTTTAAGGTTACCAGCAACCGTATTATGATGGGAGAGATCCAACGCATTCAAGATTGAACGAGTTTGTTTTTTTTCTCTTTCTTGTGGTATTTATGTGTTTGTTTTTTTTTCCTTCTCAATTTACAACCCAACAACATGTCACATCTTTTAACCCACCCAACAAAATAGATTAGGTTGCATATGTTAACTGCATGTATAGGTAATAGGATGTAGCAGTCAACATAACAAATTGGCCACCTTGTATAATTTTTGTATATTCCGTTCATGTCTTCTGTTTGACAATTGAATTCAACCAAAATATGGAACAAACCGAGTAAGCTACTCATATTTGGATTGCCTTCCTACCTCCCCGTTCATGTCTTGTTTACATTCTTACTTCTTAGGCTTCGCCAAAAAATGATTAATCCTGGGTTGTTTTCTCCTTGTACCCTTTTGTCCTCTCCCCAACTCTCATGACAAAAAATATTTTTTTACACAACGGTGTTACAATCTCCAACATCAAAATTTCCATTCTTATCACCAAACATTAAGTACACGTCTTGGTCTGAACTGTTCAAGGTCCACTATAGAGCATATGAGGTGATTGACCACATCATCGTGCCCATGCCACCCGTTGAGGCTGCTGCAACTACCACTGCCTCCGCCAAAGAATCATGGTCCCGCCTCAACACCATCGTTCTTTAACGTAGCTATGATACCATCTCCAAAGATATTCAAACCATTCTTGCACTTTGGTTCCATGTCTTAATAAGCATTTCAACAACTGGAAAATATCTTCCAAGACAACATGAACTCTTGGGCTATTTACTTTGAAAATCAGGTAGAGCTCTACCATTGGTCTTGAAAGCCTCTCCAGTGTGTCGTCCCATTGCTAAGAATTGAAAACCTTTGTAGATAAACTATCCAATGTTGGTGCTCCGATCTCTCAACATCTTCTTGTCTTTCAATTGATTGTAGGCCACATCTCCTTGTCTTTCAATTGATTGTAGGCCTCTATGAACAATACGATAGCATTGCTACACTTAATACAATGTTTTAAGTTCATGTGATATATCCTATGTGTCTTTTTGTGATTGGTTGTATGTTTTACCGTCTTAGATAATTCATTATATATATATATATATATATATATATATATATATATATATATATATATATGTATGTATGTATGTATGTATGTATGTATGTATGTGTAGGTTATAATGTGGATGACATCTATTGTGTGGTCATACAGACAATTTTGGACTAATGGATGAAAAGAATGAAAGATTATGATCCGATAGTCTATGATATTACACTGAAATACCATATACTATATAATCACACAAATTTCATTGTAAGAATATTTTAGTCAATTAAATTAGATTTCAGAAAAAGAAATTTTGGATTTTTATGAATTTGGACGAGTTCTCCTACAACAACAATTATCACGCCAGTAATGACTGACCTCGTTTTGAGATGCTTTATGGGAGGAAATGTCGGATCACGATTTGTTGGGGCGAGGTCAGACAACGAGTCATGGGAGTACCGAGGTGGTACTCAAGACCACTGAGCTGATACAACAGGTGTGCGGTAGGCTTCAGACCGTGCAAAGCCGTCAGAAGAGTTATATCGACAGACGCCGTTCAGACCTTGAGTTTCAGGTCGGGAATTTCGTACTCCTGAAGGTGTCACCTTGGAAAGGTGATGTCCGGTTCAGGAAGTAGGGCAAGTTGGGCCCTATGTTTATTGGCCCTTTCAGGATCGTCGCCCGGGTGTGCAAGGTCGCATACCGGTTGGATCTACCAGACAAGCTTAGCCAGATTCACAGTACGTTCCATGTCTCTTAGTTGCAGAAGTGTTTAGCCGATGATTCTGCAGTAGTCTCGTTGGGCGATATTCAGGTGGACGAGCGCCTGAACTATGTGGAGAGATTGGTTGCTATTCTTGACAGGAAGACGAAGACCTTGCACAACAAGGTTGTTGGATTGGTGAAGGTGCAATGACAACACCAGAAGGGATCCGAATGGACATGGGAACCCGATAATGAGATGAGGGAGCATTATACCGAGTTATTCGCGGTGACGGACTTCGAGGACGAAGTCTGGGGGATAGTTGTAACATCCGGATCTTGAGGTACTTTCATTTATTTGATATTTTTTTTTGGCATTTTTGGGGTTGCCACGACGTGGTGGAGGCACCACCACGGCGTGGCGAGGTCCTTTTGGTCGCAGGTTTCATTTAAGCCGCCACGGCGTGGCAATATTTGGGCCACGACATTGCAACCACCTGATTGCTTTAACCCTAATTTTCCGGGTTTCATCCTATTTAAAGGAAGTGATGGCTAGGGTTTTCCTCCACCCTCAGCCTCCATCACCTCCTAAAGCTCTAAAGAAAACCCTAATCTCCATTATTGAGCTCAGTTTTAGTGTTCTTGGAAGTTCTTGAAGGAAGAAGGAAGAAAAATGAGCCAAGATCCAACAATCAAGTTTCCACACCTCCTTCTAGCACACTTCTGGAACTTTGTAAGAGTCCAAGACTCAATCTTTATGTTATTAGGTTGCTAGATATTTAGTTTTGTCGCATGTTCCTCATGTTTAGGAAAGTTGGGGTGGTGAGATCTCATAAAGGTTACAACTTTATGAATGTCTCGGACATTTGGGGTGTTTGATGCTTTGGATCTGAAGTAAGAGTGGGTTTTGAAGCCATGCATGAGGTTTTGGTCATAAACCCATATTTTTGACCTAATATGAAGTCAATACATGCATTGGACATGCATGTCTATAAAACATCAACTTTTATGTTAGTTTTGGTGTTAGAAACTCTTCAGGAGACGATGGACTAAGGACTTTATAGAATAAGTGCTTAATGGTTGAGTCCATGTCATGTTTTGCCTTTTTGGAACCTAGGGTTTGAGATCTTTGATCTCTTGAGTAGTATTAATGGATAAAGTTGGAAACTTTATCCATCTTGACTAGCATGGAACAGATCCGAGCTTTGAAGCTCTTGGGGTCGAAAGAAACAACTTAATCCATTAAGCTGTTTAAAACCCAGTTCCCACGACGTGACATTCAATGGCCACAGTGTGGCGACTGGGGGTGGATCGACTGTTTTTTCCTTATTATGACATAACGTGGCCAGTGGGAGGCCACGACGTGGAGATCAAGTAAGACCATCTGGACTTGCCTGATTTGGATTCTGATCGGGTTTAGACCCGTGGGCCACGAGGTGGCCAAATGATGGCTACGACAGGGAGGTTGACTGATATTGTTTTTGACTTTAACCGTAGACTTTGGGGGGTTGACTTTTAACTTGTGGATTTTTAGTAAATTTACTAGTTTTAGAAGGGAAAACTAAGAATTTTCCTTGTGTGGTTATATAGGTGACGTTTAACACCTGTGCCGAGAGTTTGAGAGCTTGTTGACTGTTGAGGTGCGTTGCGAGGTGAGTCTTCTCAATGTACTGTAGGATGTTAGACGGTCTGTGTGACTCTTGCATGTGTATGTTTGTTTTGTATGAGCTGGGCCCGATTATATGGACTGGGTCTGATTATATGGGTCAGGCCCGATTATATGGGTTGGGCCCAATGATGTGGGCTGGGCCCGTATGCGTGGGATGGTCCCGAAACATGTATGTTGGGTTGGGCCAGTTCTTGTTTGGTATATGGTATTTTGGGGGAAACTCACTAAGCTTTGTGCTTACGATTTTGTGTTTAAATGTTTCAGATACTTCCAGTTCAAAAGGGAAGAGCTCGACATGATTGCATTGCACACCCTATAGTTTTATGCCACACTATCTTTGATTTATCATTGATGTTTGAGGATACATTATCATACTCTGATTATCTTTTATTTGAAATGAATGGATGTTGGTTTTTGGTTATTTTGAAAATGAATTTTTTTACCTTGAATTTTTGGGATGTTACATAATAGCAGAACCACATGAAAACATTGATTCAACAACTATAAGCATAAAGCTTAGTGAGTTCCCCAAAATATCAAATACCACAACATACAAAAGGTCCATACAATCAAGGAGTCGCGACTCTCGTGCCATTCCACCATCAACATAAAACAAGGACTCACGAGTTATGCGCCGTTCTTTCATCAATAGGGACTCAGGAATCTCGTGTCGTTCCATCATCAACAATGAGTATTCCAGGATCATACCTCTCGTGTTGTTCCACCATTCGCCCCTCAACAATGAGTTTTATAGGCTCACAACTCTCGTACTGTTCCACCATCAACCCCTCAAAAAATGAGTATTCTAGGCTTACAACTCTAGTGTTGTTCCACCACCAATCCCTCAACATAACATATCAACATATTAATCAATCAACAATCCATATTCACAGATTATTCTAGACTACCTAAGTAATCACCTTTTACTAGTACATCTACCTCATATCAAACAAAGAGACACATAGTATAGTGAGAAAACTCACCTGAACATAAAGATGACGAATCATAGCTACACCCACGAACTCGCAAGAATCAGACTCATGAACCACCTTGACAATCAGAGGTCAACACTAATAGAAAAAAGGCCTTTTATGAAACGCATTGCGTGTCATAAAAGGGTACAAATGACACACAAATATGTTTCATTAAATCACCTGTCATAAAGGAAGACGACAAGCATTTGCGTGTCATATGCTTACGTCAGACATTGTGTGTCATTAAAGCCCCTATCATAAAGGAAGACGACAGACAGTTTGTGTGTCATAATTTTAAGTGTTTTTCTTTTTATTTATTTATTTATTTATTTTATATATTTACTAATTTTCAAATTAAATGAAATTAATGTCTCATAATACAAAATAACATATCATACAAAAAAAAGACAATCCATTTCACAATATATAGTATGTCAAATACAAAAAATCATTACAATGCTAAATAAATGTAATACATTAATTTTTTCATCATATCATATAAATTCCCCTGAGAAAACACCATCTCCAATTAAGACATGTTCAAACCCATTTACCTAACACGAATGCAATAGTTGCAACACTAGACCTAACCGATCTGCAAAGATCCTTTTTAGGTATGATCCCGTCTTATCTTAAAAATGCTTTGCTTAAAAAGAGATCAATGAGACCCCAAGCTTTCCTTAATTGCAACAAGCTATTATTGTGTAGTTTGATGAAAATGTAATTAGTATAATTCTATATCACATACCTTTTGAAAGTACAATGCCTTAATAATAAAAATAATAAAAGTGGCTAAATCGATAACACGATGACTATCAAAGAGGATGTGATAGAAGACTCATTTTTAGTGTGTTTGTGATAAATTTTTTTTAATAAAGGAGATATGTCAAGAATTTGCAAGGCCAAAGCAACTGAAGGTACGTGCACAAACCCCCCGCATCTAATGCTGCACTACGCCCTGTGTACGCCAAGCTTACGCCCAACGTACGTCTTCGGGTAGTCCAATAACAAACGACCCACTCACTAAGGTCCAACTCAAGAATCCACTATTAAACTCATAGTCCAACAATTAAATATAAAGACATTAAATAATTATCATTACCTCAAGTCACGGGTGTTACACCTTTGATGAATATGATCAAGGGGGCACAAGTGGAGGGATTGAAAAAAGAGAATTGGAAGACTGAGCGGATTCGGGGGCAGATTCCATTGTTTTTTCGAAACAATCAGGGATTATTGACTTAGTGTGGCAGAGTTTGGGTTCTGTCAT